CGCACTGCGTCCGTGCCCTGCTGAAGTGGAGCTTTGACGGCTGGTGTGTGTGTGTGTGTGTGTGTGCGCGCGCTCCTCTCCGGGCTCCGAGCGTCGTCCGAGCCCCGACACACAACCTGCTGCATGCCCTACATACCCCGGTTGGGGGGGGGGGTCGTGGGTGGAATATGCGCTCGGGAGCCACAGGCTGTTTTTAACTCACACACACACACACACACAGCCTCCAACAACCTCTTCTTGACTCCGAACCATTTCGAACCCTAACCCTCCTCGGTGTTAATCTGAACCTTAAACCCCAGAGCCTGAGGTTCAGTGTGGTTCGCGGCCCCGTGAGGGCCACAGATTCTGAGCAGTTGTACTGAGACCACGTCCTACAGGGAGCTGAAAAGGGCGGATAATCCATCCTTACCAGCCTGAGTCTGTATAATTATTTTAACTCAACACTGACCGACACTGACCGACACTGACCAGGACCACCGACCACCGAGCCGAGCCGTCCTGGATGTTGATCATCGATCCAGTCACCGTCCTGATCTCACAGCTCTGTGGGACTTCTCATTCATTCATTTCAACTCTACCTAATAATTTATGAAAATATTTGGAGTCAGTGCTAAAAATAACTGCAGTCTTTAGTCTGGAGTTGATGACAGTGACGTCCAGGGACCACAGTCCTGACCCCCAGCAGGTCTGCTCTGGTCCCAGGGAAGGTTTAACCAGCTTAACTAAAGGGTAACCTTCAACGATCGTCACAACCATGAACCATAGTCAATTAGCACTTTGAGCAAGGCATCAGGGCAGAGGGTTGTCTCATTAAAACCAGGCCGTTCTGCAGTGATTGATCAACATGGTTTGACCGGCACTGAAATAACTCTAAAGAGAAGGTAACAAAGACTGAGCAGCAGCAGCAGTAACAACAACAGTAACAACAGCAGTAACAACAGCAGTAACAACAACAGCCGCAGCCGCGTGTGTAGGAGCGCGTTATCCTATTGAACACGGTGGAATTCAACAAGTCTGAGCAGCAGAGAAGCTGCAGCGGAATTAACAACACGCACAAATTAACTGACTGACTGTTTGTCTGACTGACTGTTTGTCTGACTGACTGTTTGTTTGTTTGTTTTTCTCCGTCCAGATCAAGTTTCAACACTTTTCCTCTGGGTTCACTGACGCAGTGAGAAGGAACCAAAATGCCAGTAAACGGTGTGGTCACGGTGGAAGCCGCGTGCACGCGCCTTGGCTCCACGGCACCAACAACACGCCACGTTCATCTGACGGACTCCGAAGAAGGAGGAGAAAAAGCCCCGCGACCGCAAAACCGCAGCAGCCACGCTTTGTGACACCGAAGGTAAGGGGAAGGACGGTGCGCCTTGCGTCACTGGGGGGCGCTGTTGCATCACACTATTCCCCCAGACGGTTGCTCGCATGTAGCGAGAAATGTGGAGAGAGAGAGAGAGAGAGAGAGAGGCTGGAATGAATTCAAACCCCAAATGATGGTTTTCAGCCTTTGAATGCAGTCACGTTGTAGGAACACATTTCCTTCGTTTCCTTCCCGTGTCAACACACACACACACACACACACACACACTCTTCCTCCTCCTCACCCTCCTCCTCTTCCTCCTTTCAGGGATGCAGGAGTCACCATGCACACACACACAAATGGCCAGGCAGCTGTTTCATGGAGTGTAAAGTAACTATAAGAGCATGACTTATGATGGTGGGCTGCAGGAGTGTGACCTGACACAACGTGTCAGCCATGATCCACAACTCTCTCCCTGTCAGACCAATGATAACAGTCTGGGAAAGAATGCCCTGCTTCAAGTGCTAAATGCTAGACCAATGATAACAGTCTGGGAAAGAACGCCCTGCTTCAAGTGCTAAATGCTCCATGTGTGTGTGCGTGTGTGTGTGTG